AGTCCTGCTGCTAAGCTAACATGCTAACTTCACTCTACAGCGGTGCAGTAACAGTCCTGCTGCTAAGCTAACATGCTAACTTCACTCTACAGCGGGGCAGTAACTAAAAGCTACCGGCTGAACAAACGTGTTCTCACCATGGTTGAACACCGAGCAGCGTCGGTAATAACTTCACTCTACAGCGGGGCAGTAACTAAAAGCTACCGGCTGAACAAACGTGTTCTCACCATGGTTGAACACCGAGCAGCGTCGGTAAACTCGGAGAGCTAACACCGTTAGCTAGCTGCGGCTACCAACAAGAGGTGCTGTCATGGCAACGCGGTCACGTGGTCGCCAAGTCTGTGTTTTTCAAATAAATCTTTATTTAAAAGAAACTGAATTACAATCCGGACAATGAAATGAAATGAGAGAATGTTGAAATAGAGAATTAAAATAACAACCAAACAACGACTAATAAATATAATGAATAAAGTTATATTAAAATATACAATTATGATTTTTATTTAAAGTCGTAAAAACAAAGCAGAGCTCCACAAATCAAACAATTAGGTTGATTAAACAATTAGTCAAGAAATTTGTTTTTGGTTCATTGTTTAAGTCTCTCTTTAAAAAAATAATAAATAAAAAAAAACATTATTCTTCGGCAGCAGCTTCTGTTTTTTATGGTAAAACCTCGAAAAGTGACATTAATATTTAAGTCGTGCATTTTTAGGGCTGCGTTGGATCAGTGGTTAGCACCGTTAGCGCCTCACAGCTAGAAGGTCCCCCGTTCATCCCGTTAGGACACCCGGGATCTTCCTGCGTGGAGTCTCCATGTTCTCCCCGTGCAGCGTGGGTTCTCTCCGGGTTCTCCGGCTTCCTCCCACAGTCCAGAAACATGCTGAGGTTAATTGGTGATTGGTTGTCTCTGTGTAGGCCTTCCATAGGCTGGTTACCTGTCCAGGTCAACTGGGACAGGCATCGGACATTTTGGGAAATGTTTGTTAATTTTAAAAAGGAATCAAAGAAACTTTTTTTTCCTTCTCTCTGGTCTCCATGGTTCTGCTGACAGAAGACGTCTCTGAGTTCTCTCTCCTCCTTCATGTGGTTCTGGTTCCTCAGAGCTGCAGGACTTCATATTGAAACATGAACCTCAGTGAAGGAACACGAGACAGAAGCAGGAAAAAAACAGAAACTTCTCAGAGTTCAGATGTTCATATTTGGTTTTACTGAGAATCTTTGTCTTTTACATCCTGACTGAATGTCTCTGAGCTCCGGAGGCAGAACCAATCCAACAGTGAAGTTCCCTTCAGAGGAAACGTGATGATTCGCTGCTCAGCTTTATTCTACAGCGACGTTACAGCTCAGCTTCCTGCTAAGAAACAGGACTAAATACACGTCCTCTGTGCAGTGTGTCTATGGCCGGTCAGCGTCCGGCGGTTGGCTGATCTTTGATAAATCTCCAAACGACACGGTGGCCGACCCTCGCTTCGCCGGTTTGGTCTGAAAAGAACAGAAAAGACTGAGTGAGTCCGGGTTTAATCAGTCAGGAAGCACGGCAAATTGTTCAAATGAAGCTGGTGCTGATCCAGAAAGGTTCTGTCAGTGTCTGTCTATGGATGGATCCATGGTTCTTTGGTCACATTTCACCAACTGCTGAGGCTCTGACATCAGCAGAACCGGATGTGGTGAAGTTGGACCAGACAAGGTTCTGGTTCTACATGTTCAGACTAAATGTGGATCATTCGTAGGAACCAGAACCTGGAGTCCACAGGGTCTAGATGTTGGTTGTGGATGTGCAGAGCTCCAAGCTGCTTCATGTTTAACGTCACATGAAGCTGATTCAACGTTCCCACACAGACGCTGGAATGAGCCGTGAACAGAGAACCCGACGCTGCAGAGGACGGTTCTTCTTACCTGCGACTCGTGAGGCTTCCAGCCAATCATGTAGAGGATCTCGAAGGTGGCAGGAACTGAGCCGTCCTGGTTCCCGTACATCTCTGAAACAGGTTAAACAGGCAGCATGCTGTCATTGTGGTGGTTTGGTGTCCTTGTGGTCACTGCATTGGCTCTGTGTGAGGCGTCGGCAGCAGCTCACAGCCTCAGACCGACGTCTGTCCAGGTGCTGTGGCCTCTGACTGACTGGATGCTGCTGGTCTGACTGTGTGACTTGGTTTCTCTCACCTTTGTAAATAGCAGCAGCAGCTAACATGGTGTCTCTGTGCAGCAGTGACCTCCGGTTCCAGGCGCAGTTACTCTCCCCCATCCCTGCAGAACCAAACACATGTGATCAGGTAGAACATGTGATCAGGTGTGATCAGCGGCTCCTCATTGGCTGGTTTCACCGCCTCAGAGCCAATAGCAGCGCAGCAGGTGGTACCTTGTAGATCAGTCATGACTTCCATCATTCCTGGATAGTGAACCTGAACCTCATCCACGTCCTGAAACAGAGAAACAGGAGTTTAGTCACACACACACACACACACACACACACACACACACACACACACACACAAATCGTTTCACAGATGACGAGCAGAGTGAAATGAAGCTGGTTAAAAACAATATTCAAATCTGAATAAAAGACAAAGAAAAAACTAATAAAAACCAGATTAAAAACTCCATGAAACAGATTATTAATATGCAGAAATGGAATTAAATAAAGTGAGCGCACATTGCTGCTGCTGTAAGAACAACAATATAAGGTAAGAAATGTCCATGAAGTGTATGAAATCACCACAAATACACAAGATTACTACAAAAAACACACAAAACAACCACAATGAGACACACAACGACCACAAACCGACAAAATTTCTACAAAAAAAGCAACACAACTACAAATTGACACACAATCAGCCCAAGCACACAAACAGACACTCAACGACCAGACGGCGACGGCGGGGGGGCGTGGCCTCACCACGGTCAGCATGCTGAAGCCGGCCCGGCCCAGCAGGTTGCCCAGGTCGGTGACGGCGGTGAAGGGCGACACGTGGGCCGAGAAGCCTCCCTCTCGCTCGCTCTCGGCCAGCTGCAGGGAGCAGCGCAGCTCGTACAGCGTCTCGCCGCCCACCATCGCGCCGATGAACACGCCGTCCGGCTTCAGCACCTGCTGGATCTGAGAGCAGAGCAGCGGTCAGGTGAGCAGAACTCAGGTGAGCTGCTGCTGCTGCTGCTGCTGGACCAATCACTGAGCTCACCTGTCTGAGAGCTCCGGGCAGGTCGTTGATCCAGTGCAGGCTGGAAGAAGAGCAGCGACAGGCAGCGCTCAGACCGATCACATCCACGACACATTTCTCAGTATAAACGTAGTTTTTAGTTGTTTTTATGAGCTTTTGGTTCCGACAAGTTGAAAATTAGGATGATTTCTAACAACACAATGAATTAAATCAATAAGCCATCAATAAATAAACAACAGATCACGACGATTCCTTCCTTTATATTCAGTTCAATAAAACACAACATGAGCCATGAACCAACAAAGCCACTGCACAGACACAGAAAAGACACAAAAAGACCAAAAACACAAACATGATTACAACAGAGACAATAAACAACCACAACAAGAGACAGAAAGCCAACACACAGCTGCTCAATAAGACCAACAAATGCACAAAATTACAGCAGAAAGATGCAACACAGCTACAAAGAAACACAAAGCGACCAGACAGACACACACCAGCACCCACACGTGTGTGTCCAGGTGGTGTCCTGCTGTGGACCACCTGAGACTCACCTGAGGCTGCTCAGCACCAGGTCGAAGGTGTTTTCCTTAAACGGCAAAAACTCCTCGTCGACCATGACGCACCGGGTCGGGATCTCAGTCCGTCTGCTCTGCTTCTGAGCGTCACAGACACACAACAGTGTGTTTTAGCTCCAAACTACCACAGAGAGACACAAAACAACTACACACTGACACAAAACAACTACACACTGACACAAAACAACTACACATTGACACAAAGAGAGAGAAGGACGACAACAGAGACACACAGGTGGTGTCAGCTCAGGACTCACCAGGTGCTGCTGCGAGACGTCGGTGAGAAACAAACTCTGCACCACGTCCTGAAACACACAAACCACGTTACTCAGTCTGCAGACACACAAACACAACTCCAGCACAGGCGTGTATTACATGAACAGAGGATCTGAGAGGATAAACCAGACGCGTCCTGCACCTGGTTTAAATGCTGTGCGATGTGACCTCTCCCTCCTCCGATGTCCAGAGCCAACGGAAACGTCCTGAGAAGACAGAAGCGTCCTCGTTGTTATTCCTGCTCCTCCTGGGGCACAACTCGACTTTGGAATTAATGTTTAAATATTCTGAAATCAATAATAAATTCTAGATAAAAACAAATAAAAATATAAAATGTGAACTAATTCAACAACATAAACTAGATTCAGAAACAACAAGAAGAACAGACAAAACTGTACACAATAAAATAAGAACTATAAAAACTACAGTTAAGAAAATAAATAAAAAGCATTAAAATGAAAAAATAAAACAGGATCAAATCTGGCAGCTGTTTGAGGTTACAATGAGCCATGAACGTACCTGGCGATGTCGTAGACCCGATTAGCCACCCGACTGCCAACCTGCAAACCAACAGAACACAAAGAACTCTGAAGCGCTGCTGGTTTCTTCAGCGGATCTTCTGCAGACTGACTGTAAACAAATGGAAGCAGTTTTCTGCAGCAGAAGCCTTAAAGACTAAATGAATCAATGAAATTCTAAAATCAATCAAACTAACTTCTGCTGAATCAGAGGAAGACGTTTTGGGAGAGACGACATTTAAATCAGTCCAGTTTGTGGTTTCGTTGTCGGCTGAAAGTCAAACAAGTGAAGTCCCAGGAGGAGACTCAATAAAACACGACGGGACACACAAACGATGGGACGGGAATCCAAAAGACCAAAAAACACACGACAAAGACAAAACAAAAATCACCATAAGAAGAATCAACAAAACAAAAAAAAACAACACAAATAGATGCAAAATAAACGCAAGAAGACACAAAACAGCAAAAAAACAAGATTCAAAACAACCACAAAGAGACACAACTGACTAAAAGGAGACAACAGACAGAACAAATGGATGCAGACACACAACAGGTGTCTGAGGGACCGACAGAAAAGAGCACAAAACAACAACACAGGTCACGTGACACAGCTAGCAGAGACACACAATGAACACAAACAGCTGCAGACTGATGAAGCACAACTGAACAACACAAGTCTGAACAAAGCACAGTGCAGAACGAAGCACAACCGAGACTGAGGACCGACCAGAACCAGCAGCACAGACCCTGGTTCCGGGTCGAGACCCCCTCACCTCGTCCCTCAGGTAGTCGTACTGGTGTGCGTCCTTCAGGGCCGCGGACCACTGCTTCTGCCTCTTCTTCATGTCCCTGTTGAACACGTTCATGGAGCCGCTGCTGGCTGACGACAGGAACCGGCTCGGTTCGGCTCGGAGCCCCGCCGGGCCCCGGCACGCCCCGGTCCGTCCGGCCGCCGGCAGCCTCCGCAGGACTCTGACCGTCAGCGAGCCGCTCATGTCGCAGAGAAACCATAGAAACACACAGACATGCAACTTCCGGTGAGTGACTTCCGCCGGAACCGGAACCTGCTGGGCTCACGGTGTTTATTATTATTATTATTATTGTTATTATTATAGATTAGTAGCGATTATGAATATTTAGTTTTCAATGACATTAAATCCTGTAAAGTGACAACTTCAAACTGACATTATTATTCTCGTCTGTTCACTTTTATATGAAATCACAGGAGTTTAACTGGTGATAGTGATTTCTTTACTGAAAACTGTTTGTAAAATATTAAAACGAAGCAACACTTCTTTCTACCGCTACTAATAAAAAATAAAAACACACAAAAAACTCAAATATAGCAAAATGAACATGAAAACATTCAAACTAAAAGGCACCCTGGAAATAAAAGTTGTCTAATAAAACTACTGACGTGATGATAAAAGCACACATAAATGATCAAAGTAGTAGTAATAATAATAATAATAATAATAATAATAATAATAATAATAATAAGTATGATAGCACAATGAAAAGAAAAGAAAGTAAAAATCGCATTTAATTAAATAAAATAAGATAGAAAATATAATAAATAACACATATACAAGAAAATAAAATAGACAATTAATACTAACAACAAACAAAGACTAAAAATAAAAGTGCACATGATATAAAAATATAAAATAAATAATGACATCAATAAAATAATAACAAAAGCAAAAATATTTAAATGTCAAACAGAATTTGTCAGAAAAAAACACAGACTATATCTAAAAGTATAAAACTGAATTTTGTTTGAAGCATTTACAAGTCCGGCGCTTTAAAGTTTACATTTAGTTTTTGTTTAAATTGGGCAGAAATGTCGGATTTACAGTTTTTAGTTTTGCTTTGCGCGTTTTGCCACTTTGGTCCCACGTCGCCTGCCGTAGCGGGAAAGGTCACGAGTCACGGCGCGGTGCATTGTGGGAAAACACGTGTAGCAGGACCGTGGACTGTGTGAAGCGGAGCAGTGGGTTTTCGGTAAGTTTCCTTCTTTTAAATCATGTTTCAAACCAACCTCCCGGTGTGTTTTTACCGGCGTGTGTTCGGCGCCGCGGCCGGTTTCCCGCCGCCGCTGTCCGTCTTCACCGTCCGACATTTTGTTTACATGTCGGCGAAACACGGCGGAGACGTTCAGACGCGGAGCCGGTAGACCTGCGACTGTGACCGGACAGACAGACACGAGAAGCGGCGCTAGAAGTGGTTGACTGGTATCAGAACTAGTTAGCAGAACTAGTTGGCAGAACTAGTTAATGCCAGCGCCGACAGCTCAGTTCATGGTCTGACTGAATGTCGTTAGCAGCTAGCAGCTAGCAGCGTCCGTTTAAAGAGGCTTTTAGCAACAGACGACGTTTGGAAGCGTCGCAGCCAGTCGCTAGCTAGCAGAAGTCATGATTAGTAAACTGGAAAAAAGGAAAATAAATCCTATAACTAAAGAGTAAAGCACACCAGGAACGGTAGTAATAATAAGTATGATGATAATAATAATAACAATGAGTACCCTACCAAAGGGATCAATAAAGTTATGTCAAATAATAATGATATTACTAATAATA